AAGAGAATAAGTGTAAGGGATGAAATATAAGACAAAATATTTGCATAATATCAAACAAATCAGAATAAATATAGATATTTTACAGATATTTTACCACTAGGTAACTGAATTACAGGGCAGATCAGAGTACATTTGGGAAACAGAAATAGTCATATGTAAACACAGTCATGTTTATGAATAGAAAAAAGCATATAGGGAACTGTGCTTTAGCACAAGTAGACTCATAAACTAAAGCATGCTTCCTTAACATGGTCACTGCATTACCCTGGCAACTTCTTTCCATTTTCCTTATCAGAAATTTGTAGTACGTGAAGAATAAAGGGAGAATCCAGCTTCCATTTTACAGTGGCTGCCTGGCATCTGAGTATCTGAGTGTTACACCAGTACTTATGTGATACAGATACAATCAGTAAAGCTCAGGGCTACAGACCACAATAAAGCATTTCTGTTCTTCAGTAAAGGCACCTTCAGCATTAAGTCCATTTTCTGCATCAATCCTCATAATATTATGTTGCATACCTAATAAGTTCCCTAGTTTTCCTGGATTTGCATATTGTTTGAAAACTGCTTTGTGATTCTTACGGGAAAAATATTCTCAGATACTTAACACTGCGTTAAATTCACTTGTTAATATTATTAGTGGTGGTTTAAACAGAAATCTCATTTGAGCCTGCATGCATTTCTGCAGGGGGAGTACTGGAGAACCGGAATCCTTGCCTCTTGGTCTGCTTTTTAGACTGGATGCAGACCCAGAAAGAAAAAGCAACTCTCACATGAGTGGTCCAGCTGTGATATTTTGAACCTAACTACAAAAAAGCCCTAAAAGCAGTGGACTATATGCAATGTCTAATTGATTAATCCTACTCTTTGGGTATTTCTGTTATTTCTAGTAAAAAAGAATCATTAAAAAAATGGTTTCTGAGATTTTGTTTGTTGACTATGAGCCCTGGCCTGACCTCAGCCTTGAATTTAAATCCCCAGTAGAAGTCTGAAATTAATCCACCTCTGGCTTAGTTATCAGTAATTATAATTATTACCAGAAGTATCCAGTAAATGCATGGCTTTCAGTGACACGGTGTTTTAACTTAGAATAATGGATAAATAAAAATGCACTTCCTTCTTACCTTACAGTATCTTTTCCCACAGCAATGCAGGATTTGGTCCTTACATGGGCATGGTAAAAGACACAAGCCCAGCCATTAGCCTATATACATATGCGCTTGCTCAAACGCTAAAATCCCACATATTACAAACATAAGCAGTTAAAAACTGCTCCTCCTGTGCCAGAGTTGATGGTTTCAAGCTTGCTCTCTCTGCAGCTAATCAGTGGAGTGGAGTGAGAGCAGCAGAAGTGGCTGCCCTGGGAACACCGGCACTGGAGTGCCGAACCCTGCCTTGCACACCAGTGCTCCCAACGCGTGCGGGCTCCTTTGCGAAGGCCATGCTTTCCCCACGTGAAACGGTCTGAGAGAGCTCCCAGACTATCTTGCGGAGGGATTTAGTGTCCTCCTAAGGTCTCTCCCATGCAGCATGAAGGAAACCTGCTGTTGGGAGCTATCGGACCTGGAGCTAGCTCCACCGGCAGGAGCAGACTCAGAGGAGACTGTCAGCTGGTTCAAACACTCTGATTTCTTGAGACATCTCTCCAGCTATCTGCCTGTAAGCTGCTGTACCCAGAAGAGGTTTAATGGGGCTGAAAGGAATACCTTCTGCCTATTGTCACAGGGCTCAAAAGCCTGGACCATCACCAAAACAGGAAACAGAAAACCTAAGCTGCAAATCCAACCGAACAAATTGGCCGGATTATAACAGCGTTGGGAAAGTCCAGCTTTTATTATAACTGGATTGCGTGCCGCTCAGCACTGTGGGCAATCGGAGCACAGCAGCAGTAGGAAATGACTCTGCAGGGAGCAGCCTGCAAGCCAAACACTGCATAACCCGGAGAGGACAGCACACAGAAGCAGGGAGGAGGCAAGGGTAGGGCAGATGAAGGGTTAGAAGGAAGAAGCTGGGAACACATTTGTAAAAGTGCCTAAGGGACTACAGGGAAATGATGGTTTCTTTTAGGACAACAGGAACAGAAGTGAAGGGCGCAGCTTCGCAGCTGAATTACTGCAGTAATACATAAATTACTGCATGTGCATCATCGCAAGACATGGCTCAGCAATTAAGGGCATGTGGATACCTCTCCTCACATCCCAGCTGCCCAGACTTTTTTGTGCCTCCTCCCTCAAAGTTCAGGTTTCCATGTTTTTCTGGCTGGGAGCATGTGCTCAGTCACTGCTCTGCAGACATGCAATAACTCAATGGACTCTCTGGGCTCAACAACCCATATGCCCACAGGATTAAGGCTACACTCCTAAAAATTAGTTAATTAAACTCCAGGTTGGGCTTTATCTTATGAGGCTGAGCTGCTGCAGAAAAACAGAGCAGGTGATCGTGAAACTAAAGACCATCTCATTGCGCACAGAGAGAAGACATGAAGGTGGCACAAGCAACTCCATTCTGCCATCCCTTGGTGGCTCAGTCCCTTGCTTGGCAATATTTGTTCTCCTGTAACCCAGCCAGCTGAATGTCATGTTTATGTTGATATATCAGTGCACGAACCACCTCTGCGCTGAGGGCTAAAAGAGGCAGCTGAAGAAATAGATAAAATAATTAGGGTAGTCTAGATGCTGCCCCCAGGCTGCACCCCTACCACCCCCAGTGAGATGAATGATGGACCTTGAGGTCCAGGGAAGACTGAATTCACAGGGCTTGGGCACCACTGGCTCACTGTTTCTGGAGGGGTTGCCAGAATAGCAGAATGAGGGAATAAATCGGGGTTTTCTCTGGCGGATCGTGCTCCTTCCTGCAGTGACTGCTGAGGCTGCGAATCACCCCGGAGGTGTCCTTCCCCTGGGGCCTACACAGTGGTCCAGTAAGCCCCACATCTCCTCCCTTCCCCCTCAGTTCACAGAAGAAAAACACTAAGATGTTTCTGTTGGCTTTTACATCATCTTTTTGTAGAGACTAATCTTCAGTTTCAACAATACATCTTTTGTGAAGAGCTCCCTGCAGAAACCTTAGACACCTTCCCTAAGATCTGTTTGCTTACAGAAGATGAGGTAGGATTTGTATAAACCCAGCTAGATTAATGTCTTGCAGACATTAGTGAAGTGAGATTTAATGAGGTTATTGCTCTGCATTTTCCAGGGAAGTAAATCACACTTATTACTAGGTTGGAATAAGATGCAAGGCTTGGGCTGAGAAAATTTAGTCGTCTTTGTTTTTCTGGGGCGGGGGGAGCGAATGGATAACCTGAAAATTGCTGCAAGGCTGTCGAACAGGGAGCTCAGCGAAAGGCCCCAACAGCTTGGAGGAGGGAAAAGAGAAAGCAAGCCATAATGGCTAGTGCCAGCCTGGGGGTGGGCCTTGGTCCCCACTCCCTGCCTTGCAGAGGTCCAATCCTGCCTCTTATTTTACTCAGGCCTAATGCTGTAGGGTCCGTATCAGTACAGAAAGCAGACAGGAGTGTTAAACAGTATTTAAAGCAGATTCCCAAGATCCATTTGAGATCCTCCAGGTGAACTCTCCCATAACCCTGGGGACCTCGCTCCTCTTCTGGGTGTCTGTTTCTGCCTGGCACATGGGGACATCTTCTTGCATCAGAGGGATGTTGTGGGATCAAGCAACCTTTGCAAACCTTCTCACAGACCCTAAATGGAAACTGTGATGGTCAGCAGGTCTCGGAGTGTAGGCATATCCTGCTACAATGGTTTCTAAGTTTGCAATATGTGTTTAACAATGAACATGCAACTGTATTTATTCACCCCATATTTATTTTCCTAAAACAAGGCTGGCTAGGCAAAAAAAAAAAAAAAAAAGCAGCTCTTTTTCCAGACCTTTGATTTAAAAACTGCTGTTTTTCTCATTCAAAAACCAAAAAAGACTTCTCTCTCAGCTATGCTAGCAGTGTTTTCTTTAGTACAAATGCTAATACGTCCCCCTGTATAAAACCTTGTATGTGCAAGAGACAAACTTTGGGAAATCAAACTGCAGAGGTCCTCTCCTCTACACCAGCACAGGAACAGACAGCTGTAGCCAATACAAATCCTTCCGCTAACTACAGGTTTGCATGTGCTGAAGTGCCCAAAACCCAAACACTTTCCATCCATTTCCCCTTACCCAATGGGCTGTGCAAACACTGAAGAAAGCAAATTACAGTAACACAGCCTGCAATTAAGTTCAAATCGTGCAACAAAGCATCACAAAACACAATGGGACCAAGTCAAAATCTTATTGCGGAGCACAGTAAAATATACCCTGTTCAGTACGAAGGAAAAAAGGAAGTATCAGGCAAGGCCACACAGTTGCTTGTAAATATTCTCCAGCCAACGCTTTCCCTGGATAAATTAGTCATCTGAACCCTGATTGCATCAGCATGAATCAGCCTGTCTGCTCCAAGGTAAAGGCTGTGATTCTGTTTCATGTTCAGTGGGAACTCTTTTCCCAACCTTTTCTTGGCTTCCTGCTTAGAAAGAATAGACTCTCCAGAGACTATTTTAGATCTGGACCACAATCTTGCTCCCTTCAAATAACTAAGTATCTCTGGGCAGGAGTACATTTACAGAAGCAGCTGGTAATGATGAACCAAGTGCTTACTGGCAGGATTTCCCCCTGCTGCTGAGCCAATGCTTTTGGGAACTAAATGACTCTTTAGTGATAATTATCAGGTAAAGCCCACAAGCCAGGGGAGGTTCCCTCATTAGAACCATCAGCAAGAAACAATGCAAAGGTGAGGGGAGAATGGCTGAAAATTGTGTCTGAGGGTTGCTTGACTCCCCTGTCCTCCACACACCTGAGGTACATTGTACGTAATTGCTGGGCATTTTCCAGGTAATGCTTGAAAGCTACAAAATCTGTTCCCACACCTACAGCGGTAATAAACCCAAATGACCTCTTCCTTCCAGCTAATCAAAATGAACTGAGCAGCACTGGAAATCCATCGCAACACTTACTCTTTTGGAGGATTAAGGTCTTCTGGGCGAGCCTCGAAGAACCTGAAGACTTCATCGCACTGTGAAATGTGAGGAGGAAGCCGAACCAGTGCCTGCAAAACAAAACAGGGAGGGAGAAGCACTTAGAAAAGTCAACTTCAAAACATGGCCTCAAACATCTAAACTACCAAGCAAGAGGAGGCAAAACAGTCCTGGCAGGGGGAAGGGAATACAAAAGGAAAGCATCACGCCTGGCTACTTACTTAGAAGAAAGGAAATAGGATGTCTTGATCTTGACTGCAAATGTCAAGTAGGATGCAATGAACTGAGATAAGCAATGGCTCTTAGAATCAGCCAATGACATTTTTTTGCCATGTGTACAAAAGCAGAATTTGGTCCACATGTGCAAAACCATAAGACTGAATAGATAAGTGCTCTGTGGCTGGGACAGTCTCCATGACGTGTTTGCACAGCACATCAAACAATGCAGTTAGGGCTTACAGGCTTCATGTCAATGCACACAAATTCAAGCAGTGAAAATCTACAGACTCAACACCCACTAATACAACGGATTAATATGGTCCATAAAGCTTTCCATTAAGCACTGTCAAGTTTGCTAAAGAAAAAAAAACAAACCAAACCAAACAACAATTTGCTCCTAAATTAACAGGAAAGGAAGTTTGATTAAGTGTCTGCAAATCAAAGGCAGAGAGGCTATTTCTGCATGAAGGAGGCTTCGCAGCACATCCTGGCTAACAATGTCCATACGCTCTGCAAAGCACAGGTACACAGCACTTGTCGCATCCAGTAATAGTTAAGTACAATTTGGGAAGCAACCACATTATGTTGAAGCGTACTGGAAAGCGAGACTTCAAACCAATGAGACAAGCACACAAGGCAGAAATGTGCTATGAATTTCCTGTTCAGAAGCTAGAGCTTGATAGTGCAAGAAGAGGCCAAAGAGCTGTCCCCAGCCCACAGAGATGGGACAGCAGCTCTAAGTGACATGACTCTGAGATTTCCTCCAGAAATGACCAGCAGGAGAGGAAAAGAGGCTGGAGTTCACCTCCTCCTGTGCTAAGTCACGTTGAAAACAGGCCATAGGTTAAATATAGACCAAGCTTCTTAGAGGTGCTGTAAACCTGTTTGGCAAAATGAGATTGTCTGGCTCTTCTGCTAGTTGAAAGTAGGACAAACAATCTTGAAAGACGGATGAAAAACTGCACCAGAGCTAAATGAAGGTGCATTAGGGTGAACTGGTTATACTAACCCATTAGACATCTGATTGATCTTGCTCAGACATACCAGAAGGCCCAGTCAAAGCATGAAGGCAGGACAGGGCAGTTGGTTACCCTCATGGCTGTTTTTAACCAGGCTTTAGAAATTACCAGATTTGTTTCCAAGACCACTCCTGCTTGGGGTTGTGAAGGAAAACAGCTGAAAAATGAAAAAATCCTGCTCTGAAACTGCAGGTCTCCAGTATTACATGATGGGGTCTTGTTTGAGGTGGTCTGAAATTCAAAGCCAAGTGCTTCCAGACCCAGAGCTCTCCTTTCTCTGGTGGAGTGATGTTATAAAAACACAAGGAAAATCCGTTTGGTATCAGCAGGCCTGTGAAGAATGAGGCACTGGCCTTTGGTCATGTGCAACTGCACTCCAGAGCAGAGAAAGATACTTGCAATAAAGAAGCAGCATCAGATGCTGAAGCCTGGAAAGAGCCTGGCAGGTCCAAGTGCCGGGGCATGTGTACAGAGCACTGCTGGTTGCTGCACTAATGCATGTTAAGTTTGCATTGAATGGAGAATGCCCGGGTCCCCACCGCTATCCACTCAGTCTTGCCATCTTGCCTAAAAGCGTAACAAAGATGTGAGCTCTCTGCCCTTATTCCTAGCATGCATAAACGCATGCATCCAGCTGGCAAATCAAGACAAACACTGGGAAGTCAGGAACTGCCCAGGAATAGTAACAATCACGGCATTTTGAAAGAGAAAGCAAAATGCCTCGCCAGCACAGGCTACCAAGGACACAGACAACATTAAAGCATGTTTTATTCAGCTGCATCTCAAGCAGGAGACAGATTTACACAGAGGAGCAATGCTGTCTAACCAACAGTGGATGGGGCTGAGATTTAGTGATGGCTCTATTACTAAAGCCCTTCTCGGTTCGGGCAGGTTACTTAACCTCTTTCCACCAAATTCAGCAGGGATATATCTTCAGTTACCCATTTACAAAGCTGAGCAGTAACACCTACCTAATCCACAGAAAGGTTATGAGGCTCAGATATTTAATATCTACAGTGTGTTTTGAAATCTCAAAGGGCTTGATCTTGTGCAGTCAATGGGGCAAGAGCAAGCATTGCAAATGATACGTATCATTACTAAGGAAACACAAATACCCAAGTTATACGTATCACAGGGGGTGCTGGGCATCAGACACCATCTCAAAGAGTCACCACTTCCCTACAGGTCACAGGTGTTCACACCCTTCCCAAAAACCAGGCTACAGATGTCAATCCTGAGCTGGAGCACAGAGTAGGTTTTCAGTGATAGAGGAGCATAGATCCTACCAAGCTGCTCTGGAGATTTGTGTTTTAGATCTTTAGAAGCTTTAGGAAATCTGACACTCCTGAATCAGTGGTCCCCTACCTGGAAGTCTCCAGGAGCACTGTGGTCCTGCCAGGCCGAAGGGGCGTAACCGAAAAGCACCCCCGTGACTCCAGGCTTTCGCAGGCAGTGGATAAAAATCAGCCGAAGCCATTTCCACACCCAGTCATCCACCTTCCCACCCTATGGACATGGCAGCCCTGGGGCAGGGCAGGCTCTCCTGCTTCTGAATCACCTCCCAGAGTACTGCAATTTTCAGGCCAGTGCATGGAGGTGAAATGCAATCCACCCAATAGTAACTTGCCATTGCATGTTTTTCGGGTAGATCAGGTGTAAGTCTGTAGCCAGTCATTTTTTACTTGTTTTTGTTACGAACAAAACCTTAAGAAGGGGTAAGAAATGCTAAGAAAAGGTAAGAAAGTGCAAACAAGGCTGTAAAACCAGGCAGAGTTGGTCTATTGATTTTGGACAGGGAGAGGGAGCAGCAATGCTTTTTTGAGAAACAAACATCTCTTCAGCAAACATGCAATGTCCACTGAGGAGCAAGCCAAGTCCAACGCGATTCCAGCGAGTGAACAAAAAGTGCATTGAGGAGATGAGGGACACCACTGTCACTCTGCAAGGGGGAAATGCAAGTTTCTGGCATTTCCAGCAAGACAGTTCCAGGGCAGAGCTGCAACAGCCTGAAGGAAAGACTGAAGGGTCGAGGAAAGAAGAGTAAAGAAAAAGAGGAAAACAGATGGTGAAAGGATGGAAAGGACATGGAAGTGACATTCTTGCTGGGATGTGGAAACCAGAGGTAAATGCACACAGCTACAAACAGCAAGCATCCAGAAACAGCAAGGAATTTGCACAGGAAAGGTGAGACAAAAAGTGCCAGCAAGCAGAATTCAGCCTTGCACAACCACCAAGTATTATCAGTAATAGCATGTTTCCTTGCTCGGAATGCAAAGGTGGACATGCACTGCTCAGACCTCACACGCTCCTTAGGAGATATGCTTTTATGTGTTACTTCAGCTTGTAACGATGTCTGTCTCTCTATATTACAGGTTTCAGACAGTCTTGCAGAGGGTATGATTCGAACAGCTATTAGGAAAGCTGTAACGTCAGGCAGGGCGTGAGCAAGCAGCCCTCGGCACTGGGGATGGCCGGCTACTCACACAGCGCCAGCTCATCTGCAGACAGGCTGCTGCACGCCGCACACGGCATTTGAAGCAAACAGAGCACCAGGCACAGGCAGGGGTTCATCACTTAAGGTTACGTGAGCTGCCGACAGCTCTGTGGGACCACATTACAGCTCAAAGGCTTCACAAAATACATGCACATGGATATAAAACCATACAGGTACTTGTAAGGATGCACTGAGTGCTGTGCGTTGCATTTATGCAGATACATTTATAGAAAACAGACACACAGACATGTATATGTAGGGATATACAGCGTGCGTGTAGGCGTCCGTGTATATATGGACAGAATGATATTCACCCCACTGAACTTTATACATCTGAAATGGGAGACTGGTCACACTTGTCTATCGACTTGTTTAATCGCTAGAGAAAGACCAGTGCCTTCAGGGGCTGCTGTCTACCCCACCATGGATGTCTACCTCTGGGGGGGTGAATCATTGTCTCTCCCCGCATCCCATTGAGGGAGTTCAGATATATCACTCTTGGATCCCTAATGTTCAGTGGGGTTAATCCCAGCTATGCACACAAATACAAAAAGACAGCTGACAGTACCGCACAGTTATGACTCCCTGACTTTTCATCTTAAGTATCCTACTCTCAATTGTTTATCATTTTAATTAATGTTAATCATTAGTGCCAGACATTTGGCAATGGCAATGAGTCCAGCAAGGGGGAAGGTGCAATTAAAATAGTTCATTTCTCAGAACAGGGAAATAAATTGTTTCACCTACGTGAAAACACTTTCCATTTCCATTTTGTTGAGAGCCTCAAGTAACTCCAGGCTTGAACCCAAAGCACTGAAGTGTGAAGGTTGGATGGCAAACAGTGTCAGACAGAGACATGGACGAAGAGCACATGGTCGTGACTCAGACTGGAGAAGTAGTGGGGAGATGCAGGAATAAATAAAGAGCTGAGGGAAGAAGGAAAAAAGGGTACAGAGTTTTGGAAGTAACTGGGACATAGTTCTGGGCCTCTGGCATGGAAGGACCATAAGGCAATGTAAAGAGATGCTCTACTCCAGGTGCTGAGGGGCACTGTAAATAATTAACTCTCATTACTGCAGCTGGTCTAAACACATCAGGATTCTGAAATGTAGACTAAAAAATGACAGATGAAGTTTGAGAGTTTTTCACTTAAACTCTTTCATTCTTGACCAGGACTATTACTCCATCTTCAATCAGCACTAGCTTAGTTGTACAACGGATGGAGACAGAAACATCTGTGTATGTCTTGACAGGTTCAAGGATTAAACCTTGAAAGAGAGGCAGGACTAAGAGACCAAGAGAGAAGCAATTAAGCTTTTGAAGTGTGGTCTCTCACACTGTGAACATTAATAAAAGAATGACCACTATTTCCTGGCATTGATGTGACTTACTCATCTAATTTTTATTTAGATGGTGTGCATTTGGGTACTCAAGCCTCACTACAGAAAAGCCTGTAAGCTTCTATTAAATCCACCTCCAGTCGGGACAGCATGAAGGCATGTGACAAATTCAGGTAAGCGTTTATGACAATGGGACTTCACATCTTAAGACCTTCCCTGCACAAAGATGCTTCCCTCAATTAGGACCAACACGGACAAAGATGCAAGCCTGCAAATGCTGGCCTCAGTGTTCCCAGAGGGCTGCATAAGGAGAGAGCAGCGGTTTTGTGAACCACTGACCTGAGAGGTCCTTCTTGAAAACAGGACAGTGCATACTGGACAAGCACACAACAGAGGTGTGTTCAGGAGATCAAAAGCTTAATAAAATGCCCCTGGCAAGGCAAGGCTATGAAGTTGCTCTTTCTTTTACATTGGCAAAAATTCCTAAACAAATCAAAAAAACCAGGCCCAATGAGCCCAGAAGACCTTAAATCACACTAAACTAATTCCAAGCTTACAGTTCAGAGGGAAATCATCCAGAGATACCAATTCCAGTGGGCAGCACACATTTACTGGCAGAAGGCAGTTTGTTTGGTAACTCACTCAGGTTACCAGTAAGGACATCCAGACCCTGCACTTCCATGTTTACATATGAAAACAGTCCTGGAAATCTTCCCCTGTGTGTCCCACTCCTCTGTTTTTCATTGCAACTTCAAAGTTTCTTGCAGCCTTAGCAAAAACGCTGGCCTAATTACCTCTGCCATGGCTTTTCATTAGGCTGGTACAATGCAACAAAGAATCACCCAGGCGTGAGGGGTTGGGAGGCCCATGCTGTAGGGTGCAGAGGGCTCATGCCCCTGACACAGAACATTCTGCAGACCTCCCCTTACTGCCAAGTATCCCCACAATCTCTCAGATGGCTTCTGCCTGTCACTGCTCCTGTGCCCAGCGCAGGAATCACAACACATCCAAACAGCAGAAGTCAGACCTGCTCCTCAGCCATGCAAATCACCACGCTCTGTCAGAAACAGTCTGCAAAAACAAAACAACAAATGGTCGAACATTTGCCCCACTCATTTGCCAGGGCCCATCTGTGCTTTGTCTTTCCAGGGCAGGTGAAATGGATGGAGAACACTCATCTGGCAAAAAAATTACCATAAACTTTGCATCTGAACTTGCCTCCCTCCTCTGCTTTCTCACAGATTCCAGTGGACAAAGGTCTATTGTCTCATTTATTCATTTCATTATCCCATGTCAGATTTTCTCCATCAACTTCACCCACATCATTCCAGCACAATTCTCTAAATTTTTCAAAATTAAGCATGTTGTCTGCCTACCCATTTTAGGACTAGCATGGGAAAAAGCTTCGCACTCTTCTTTTGTAGAACTTGTCAAAATGATGCTCTTGCTCTACAGTTCTATACAACTCTCTGAAGAGTCAAAACATCCACTTAACAGGGGCAGAAATGCAGAAAAAAGCTAACGCTTCCAAAGAAGCAGGTACGATCCCTCTCTCAAGTCACGCACATGCACCAGTAGCTGGAAACAGTAGTGAGTAATATTATTTTATTAGCAAAAAAAAGACCCAGCCCATTTTCCCTTCTTACAACAAGAGGGGATTCATTGCATTTCACTTCAGCTTTCTAGAAGTTAGCATCACAGAAGCAAGTCACTCAGGTTCCGTCTGTAGTTACAGCTGAATGGAGAGAGACCCTGTGCCTGGTTTAGGCTTGTGAAGCAAGGCTACTCTGATTCAGACTCACCCCCTAATCTTCTGTTCCCAATTCACAGCTTTCTGTCATTCCTGGTTAAGTTCATATTGGAATGGAAAGATTACAGTAAGGTTATGAAGGTCATGTTCCCAGAAACCTTCTAAGTGGTTACCTTCAGTGAAGGTAGCAAGCATTTCTGAATTTTAAGCCTCTGTTAAGCCCCAGAGATGAAATCCTGTCCCTGCTGAAGGTCAGTAACAGAACTACCACCACCAAGAAGCTCTCCTTCTACAAGCTGTTTCCCTAAATTTGTTGTACCTTTTAAGTGCAGTGCCTGATTTTCATCATTATTTTCAGTCTTGTGGACTTTCATATCCCGGGCCGGGTTTGGAACAGCAATAACATAGGACAATCATTCTTTCAATAAATGAAAACTGGACTAATTGTAAACGTTCAAAAGAAAAGCTTATTCTTATAAAATGTGCAGACTTAGAAAGGTTGGGAGAGGTATGAGTTGCAACTCTCAGGTCCCTCTGTTTATTTACACAGGCTGCCAACTGTGTGCTGTGGGATTTAAGGATGACTGGGTACGTCCTGTGCCAGGCAATGGTGTGACCACCTACCATCTTCATTTTACTCCCTGTTATTAGGGGGAGGCTGCAGTAGAAGCAGAAGAAATCAGCCTATACTGGATGATAGGCTATATCATAGCTACATCTATACTGTTTTTAAAGAGCGAGCACAAGCTTGCCTACCATCCACGCTGGACACAAATTAATGTCCAGACATGGGTTTGGAGTCAAATGCAGGGGATGGGAAAAAAAGCTTGGCATCGCTTTACTTCCCAGCCCTGGCTGAAGCTCCCACCTACCTGCAGCCCAGATTGTTCAGGCACAACCACGGTCATACATGCTCCAAAAAGATACATCCCAGGGGGACAGATGAGTTAGCCAGGGCCTTCTTTCCTTAAAGACCTGACACCCCATGCAGAAAGACACTATGGAGGATGTAGCCCTCTTGAAGCACTCACACAGACATGAGATGCAATGCCTGCTCAAGCTTTTCAGCGACTACAAGCCTCACTTTCCAATGCCATCCAGACTGAAACATCTTCCACTGTGAAGTACTGGGGCAAATTAAACACAAATTACAGTAAACTGCAAATGAAATAAAAAGACACTACTTCAGGCACAAAAAAGTTGTAAACCAGAGATCACTGGAAGCTGGGATAATATTCTGGAGAAGTTGCTATATGTTTACCCAGGGTTCATACTCTTTGCTGAGCACCACTGTGGCTGCTGCTGGAGATGGGAAACATTGGGCTGGAGGAGGCTGGGGTCTAACCTAGTAACGCTGGGTCTACATTCATAAAAGCAGTGCCTATTAATAAATAGATTAAGGATACAGCTTGGCTTTGGGGAAGCATCCAGCCATGTCTCCGAGCTAGGCAGCAGCATCAAATCTTCCCCGTATCATCTGAACCAGAGCAAACTGAGCCAGGCTTCTCCAGGAGATTAAAAAGGAAGCGAGGAGGAGGGCGGCAATCACAGCGCCGCGGTGTCAACAAAAGTACCAGTGGCTGACGCCACAACATATCCCTTGGCCGTGACCAGCGGGGTGCCGGCGGGCCTGGCTGGGTCGGGTTGGGTCTGTCTGGGGTGCAGACAATGGGGTCCCAGAGAAGCAGCTTCCCGCCCCCCCCCCAGCGTAAGTTGCTGCTGCTTTCTCCACCACGCATCTGCTGGGTGAACCCTGACATCAGCCCTCACCGCTCCTGTCGCGGGCAGTTCCTGTCTGAAGGAGGGTGGCTGGGGATGCAGTGAGACCCTACATATTTTAAAGAAAGCCGTTCAGCCACCAGCAGGAAGACAGTGTGTTAATTGTTGCACAAGAAAGCCTGATCTCATGAGATAAGACTTTAATCGCAGCTTCCTCGCCTGGGGGGTGCAGATGGCATATGGGTTTCACTGCCCCTGCCTCCAGCACGCCTCAGGCACTTCGGCGATCTGCTCCCAATTTTGGATGAGCAAATGTCTGACTGGAGAAGTTCTTGGGAATGCATTTTTTCCCCTCCACCTGCTCCTCTGGCTTTCTAAAAACAGAAAGAAAATCCCACGGGAAATAAGAGAGGAAGTCTGGGGTTTAAACTATGCGCTGACTGATGCGCTTGATACCTCAAGAAAAACTGGGTATCCGCCTTGCTTAGAAACGACTTTTAATCTACTGTCAGAGGATTAATTATCATCAAATCATAAACTCTAAGCTAGAAAGGAAAGATTAGGTGACTTAACCTTCTTCTCAACACAGCCATGCTTTTCTGTCCTGCAATAAATTTCCAGGCTTTCACTCCACAGGAGTAGCACTCCTGGAAGCCACCGGTCCACCCCCAGTGCTGCCAGCCGGCGCTGTCCCTTGTGTGGCACTCAGGGACAGACGGGCAGAGAACAGAAGAAAATGCCATCTTAGTTGAGCCTCTCTGCCTGCTCAACTCCTGCATGCATCGAGGCTGAAGTAGAAATAAAATCCACATCTAGGGCAGATGAGGCTTATGGCCTTTACTGAGTAAATGAGGCACCAACCCGGTGCATAAAGTTTGAGGGGAAAATGCTGCAAGGACCCTGGGAGCAAACAGCAACCTGTTTTCACCTGCCCTGTTATTCCTGGTGGTGTTTGGGAAGGACCATCCTTCCTTCTGATGGACTCAACACAGATGAAGCTCTTAGCAGTATCTGGCAGGGAAAGCCCAGTGTCGGTGGTGGCTGTGAGCCCGCACCCAGCAGGACTGCCAGACGCTCCCCCGGAGCTCTTACCCTGCAGTACTCGTCGATGGGCTTCAGCCTCTTCACAGCTACGTCTCGGACATGGCTCCTCCGGAACAGGATCTTGCCTGAGGAGGGAAGAGATGAAAGGGAAGGGTTAGGGGCATCTCCTGCCATGCGGGACAGTGCAACAGCACCAAGCAGAAAGGTCAGCGGATGGGGTTTCACCCCTGGCTCCAACCACGGCTGGTGGCACTGCCGGTGGCTGAGCTCTGCAACCCCGTAATGCCCCCAACAGAGGGGTCCCAGCACTGGAGAGGTTTGCACAGCAGCAGCTTTGTGGGACTGCGGCTCCCCATTGCTACAAGACAGACAGGACGGCACACTCAGAGGAGGTGTGAGCAGCAGATCTGCTTCTGCCCTCGGAGCAAACTGCACAGGAACACGCTGCGGGGCAGGCGATGGAGGGACGTGAGGCAATAGCTATTACGGGAGCATGCGTGGCACCTCTCGCAGCTGGACGCTGCCGATCTTAAGTTTGTACAGGAGATGCAGCACACGGCCAACAACTACCACAGGCGCAGCAGCTCTGTGAAACCTCGGCGACTGCCACCGAAGTCACGCTTGTGTGAGCTGCCAAAAGGGGACTGCAGCGACTCACGAGGCAGAAGGAGTTTTTCTGATTTCATCCTGTAGATAATGCAAAAAGTTTTGGTCCCCTTTTAGTGATGGCGCTATCCTGGAATGGACCGACACTATGTTACAACTCCCTTCTTCTTCAGGGCTGCTTTGGTACATCCGTGCTGGCAGCGCAGGGAGCATCGCTGGGGTGGGATGCGGGCTCCATCTACACCCCATGCCTGCTCCCTCAGCCGCCTCCCGCTACAGATGCTCCTGCAGACAAACCACACAGCCAGCTCACAAGCAAATACAAGGCTGTTGGTGACAGAGCCCTTATAAATCTGCAGAGGGAAACCAAATAATAGAAGAAAAATAAACAAACTCTCTTTTTTTTGAAAGTAAAAAAAATAATAACCTCAGTGTCCTTACTGGATGACATTCCTGCAAGCAGTTAAGATTAAATAAACGGCTGGGTTTTGTGTGAAATTGATTGTACCAAAGTTTATCAAAATAATCTAGGAGCTGAGTTTCCCCACACACAAGGATGTCATAGCGTTGGTATTTTTTTGGCTTGAAGGGATTATATCTTCATATCCTTTTTTGGTGGTTTTCTTCCCTTTTTCTTTTGTGCTGTATTTCTTTTAATGTAATGAGACAAGAATAAATTATATGTTCTCCTTGTGGTGGAAGAAAACAGTAACTGCCAGCATTATTTAGTCCATGAAATGTCTACATAAAAAAAACGCTGACATATATACCACCCCCTGCTCCAAACTTCTGCCAACAGGCAAATGAGATACTCATCCATAGATCATGGGATAAGAAAATGGACTAGGAAATGAAATCAGATCCAAAATCTGAATATGTGGCTTTGATTTTGTCATGATTACACAAGCTGAGAGGTTAATGAAATAGCAGCCTTTAACAGTCCAGTAGCAGAGGCTCTAAACCCTGCCAGACTCTGCGCCTTTTGGTTGCCTTTTCCTCTCTAGCTGCTAATCTGGAAGGTGTTAAAGCCTTTTGTTTCAGGCAGGAGAAAGTGGTTTATCTCCACCTCCAATTCTGGCAGCAAAACCGTTTGTCCTGTGAGGTAACACGGTTTCCTAGTGCCATAAATTTATCTCTCTGGGTTCCCTGTGGTTATCTCATTACAAAGCTGGTGCTGAGCCATCCCTGTAGAATGCAATGCCACGTGGTCACAGAGCACAGAGGAAATCTTCAATAGGTGTCTGAGGCATTCATCTGAGCTTGAGCAGTTTAGTCAATAAGCTGCTGGAGAAGGAAAGTGGCACTTCCATCTCCCTGCACTGACCAACTTTGGACACACCAAAACATTGCTGCTTTCCTGCTTCTCTGCCTGGTAAATGGGGAGAACTAACGGGGAGAACTAACGGCACTTCGAAAACATTTCTTATTATTCCTGGTAGCCTCCAGGATCACACTGTACTTGTACTGCATAACTGCAGTAAGCCGCTTTTTTGGGGGGAAGGGGCGTGGGGGTAGCTGTAAAGACTAGTTCCTTTCTCAGTGCTCCAGAAATGCTGGGGTGGGAGATCTTGGCATTTCTTTGCAACTTTTATAAATAAACTGCAAAGAGAAAGCGACATTTTGGAAACAGTTCTCACTTTCTGGCTTTCCTGTTTTCAGTTCAAGCCACGAGTCAAAAGTCGAACCGGTGACCATATAAAAATATAAAGGAACCAAAGACTTCAACACATTAAAGATCTCCTGTAAATGCAATTCAGCTTGCCTAAAAAGACGTTTTACAGGGAGGCCCAGTCTTCAAAGTAACATAATAAATGAAAGACTCAAGCATAAGAAACAAGATAAATATAATAAAGAACGTTATATTCAACACAGAGTACAGAAAAGCCCCCAGGATATGACGAGTCTTAATTCAGTCCTTAAATGGAGATGGAAAATATCAGCATGACTGTGGTGTTAGGACAAAGCAAAGCCCAGAAGGTGCTTCCATTTTTATCCCTTCAGAAAATGGAAGATTTTCCCTCTGATATTGGAAAAGGCTCGATGAGGGCTGTGGGGAAGACCTGTAGCTGCCCAGTCCAGTATGGCATTCAAAACTGAGATCTGGAGAAGGTTGAGTGGTTTAGAGCACCACAGAGTAGCAGTCAACAAAGAAAAAAATCAAGAAAAAAACAAGGACACTCTGCAAGCACATCCAGTTCTGGCAGACAGCAAGGAAGGACCCCCTCACAAATCCTGGGGGTCCTCAGGCAGAAAAGTCTCATTGCCAGGGATACTGAAGCACCTCTAAAGAGGGACAACTTCCCAAATGCCCAAGTTCTCCCCTTTTCTGTGAAGACAGACTGTGCTGACAGAAGTTCAGCCAAAGTCATCATGATGGACCAGCAGGAACCACTGCAGATCCAGTATGAGTTACTACTGCTTTCTCCAGTTCCCCCATTTCTGCTGGTCTTCCTCTGAAAGCAGGGGAGGTCCCACAGGACTGGAAAAGGAAGGTAACCCGAGAGACCCCCACTATACACTCTACGCTCTCCAAGTGGTTGCACTGGCCACAGACCCCATGAATGGAAAGCTTTGCCTAACGAGGTAGGTAGGGTCGCCATAAAGGAATAAAGAGCAGGCAGACAGCTGAGCAGCAGGGGCTCATAAGAGCCAGCAAGGAGTCCTCAGGATGGCAGTGGAAAGGAGCATTTCACGCAGCTCTAACATGAAGCAGGGAAGTCCTGGGGTGGCCGGTAAATGCAGAACAGCGCAGGCCATTTCCTTGTGAGGGTGGCGTAGTGGTCTATGTGCCGCTTGGCTTTTCCTCTGGGTGGTTTCCACATCTCTAAGGAAGAGATCTACTCCTACACAAGTACATGCAGTGCTCCTTCCTCTCTCCTGAATTTTATTGCAGCTCTTTTAAGCCTCCTCAGGCACTACACCCCTGTTTTACAGAAGAATGAGAAGCTTTTTAACTATGCTGCAGCCCAGCTAGGAAGCGAACGGGAAGTCTGTCTTGGACTCAGATGGGAAGCTATAGGCTACATGGGATGGCGCTGCCTCGTGCAAATATTTCATTCACCGATGTGCCAGGCTTGGACCAGGCCAAGGGAGGTCTGGCACATGTTAGGAAGGACTCTGAACACTGGGAGGGAGAGACGTGGGGAAGACACAGGGCTCCAGCCCTGCTGCTAATGCAGGATAACAATATTTATTTTTATCCTTTTTTCTTTAAAGAAAATATTATTCCTAGGAAATTAATGTGGATAAGAGGCAAAGTATCAGGTTTAGCATTGTAGGGGACATCTCAAGTCATCCCTTCATCTCTCTGTGTGTATATATATATATATGTAGTCTTTAATTCCGTGACCACACCCCCCTTCTCCCACAAGACCGCAGTTTCCTCCTGTATACACAGCGGGCGCACAAAGTGGGAAGAATAAAGCTAGGCAGGAGACTGTCTATCTGGCAGCTGCTGATTCTGCAAGCTTAAAGGTGTCCTCTGAATATCAATTTATAACTGTATAACCTCATACTTAGAGTAGCACAGATTTTAACAAGTGCCATGGACCCCCAGAACAAACAGGATTAAAGGCATCCCAATGCTTTGGTCCTCCCATTAGCCTACAGGTCTGTGCTGGACGCACCAGAAGGGTCCATAGCCTAATGCTTTGTAAGGGTCAAGGACGTGGTTCATGCAGGGAAGAAGCCCAGCTCCTGGTGGGCTTGGTGGCACTGTGGAACACAGTCTGGAGGCAGTACAGCATCACTAGGCAGAGAAGCACTAGAAGTCTCTGAGGGGATGCCTAGCAGGAGAATCCAATTTTTCCTCTTCAAGGGAGGAGGACATATGCTACACAGCCCCTACAGTCACAGCAGCTACTGCCCTAGACTGGTGATTTGTAAGCTCTAACACAGCCTCTAAAACAAACCTCCTAAGCACACCTTTCACTGTCAAGGAGAGGTGCTGTATATCCAGGCCTCGAGACCTTCTAGAGATGTCTTCATGATCTTCCCACCACTGTCCAGTGGCTCAGCCCCAACCTGCCAGCTTTGCTGCTCTCTGGAGTCAGGCAGTGAGTGGGAGCTGCGGCAGGGGCAACAGGGAGGCAGGGAAATTGCTGTTTAGCTCCTTTCCAAATCTACCAGAGAACAGATCCACCTCTTGCTCTTACTCTCGGATTGCTGAGCTTGAGTCTCCTTTCAAGGGACGTCTGGGTGACGGATTGGTCTGACACCAGTTGTTTCATGCAAGGAGCGTCTGTCAGAGGTTAGGAAGAGCCCGAATCCACTGTCAAAGTGACGATGGACAAATGCATATTCACATTTAATCTTCTACTTCAAGTACCGTCACCGCACTTCAGAGGGCAGTATGAGAAGCAAGTTATATGATAAATATTCAACAGCGGACAGCCTGAAGACTAATGGGCACATCAAAAATACTGTAATGTCTCACCTGATTCATGTTTAAAACAGACACATGCTGCCTCCAACTACACAAGCTCCAGCTGTGGAGGCTCTGTCAGTCAGCTTTCTCCTA